TTCATTGCCCAATGATTATAAATCATTAGGACAATGATTTTTTGATTTAATTTATACAGTCTGTGTCACATGTCTTATTAAATAAAGGTTAAAATAAATTCCGGCGTTCCAGCCTGAAAATTTTTAATTCCGGCCAGAACGGAATTCTGGTACATCCATACGTTTGATTGAATGCTCATTCGACCTGTTTCAAAAGATGTTTTGCTGTTAACCTTTTTTGCGTACTGAAAGTTATAATTTAAAAAACGCGTTTTGTAACTGCAAAAATTGAGTTGTAGGGCCTTGTGTAGTTATTTAACTTGTAAAAACATAATTGATTGGGATGATGTTTTAACTGAATATTGCTAGATTTATTTCGATGCAAGTTCAGACTTTTCTAAAACTGAATTAGAATGTGTTTTTTGTCAATATAAGAATGTGGCGGATGGTTTAAACTTTATTAAAAAAAATGGCAGAACGATGTCCCACCTCAATTCCAAAACAAAAGTGCACAATTTGTCCATAATATACATGACTTGATCAAATTAGACCTTTGAACTAATTGGTTTTTACAAGTTGAAATTTTCTTTTTCTAATCAATTTTTTATGATTTCTTCAGAAGGATGAACCTGCCGTTATAGTATATTTTATATAATATTTTTCTTTATATCGCAAAGTCATCAGTACCTTTACTGCCCCTAATTTGACCTTTAATCATTTTCAAAAAACTACGGTAATTTTTTATGCATCAGGACGTCAATTTTAATCTCTTCATATAGTTTTTGTAATGTTCACATCATTTCGAAAAAGAAATTTACACTCAGCGCAAAGAATAATGTATAATATATTTAGATTAATTAAATGCAAAACATTAAACTTTTTTTTCGTTGAAACCTTTACACAAATACATAAAAAAGAAATAAAATAAAAACAAATCAGTAGAGAATGTGCATACTCAAAAAAGACCCAGAGCTTTGTTACCTAGAACGGCTAAAATTAAAAACGTTAGCTAACAGCTCTTTAATAGAATTATTTAAATTAAAAGTTTGATAAAATTATTTAAATTTAAATGGATTATATTAAGTTATGATACATAAAAGTTATATTAAGTAGAGTTTTTCAGAATTTAATTTCTATAAAAACTACGTACAGTTTTCTAAACAAATACATGTCTTTAGACTCTACCAATTTATGAGCGTAAGTAGAATCACTACCTTATTTAATATTCAATGTTAAATATTAATACTCGAAGTATAAACTGAAATCTTGAAAACTTTATTCTTCTTAAGCTTGAATCACAATTTTAAAATAACTTGTCTTACAGAGAGCTAATGTAAATATGACAAACATAATTTACAACTTAAATTAATATTTTACATAAAAACTCCATTAACCACGAAACTTCCCGTACTGTAAACAAACCCCATATTTGCCCCATAACTAAACGCCGAAAAAACGCTAGAGAATTTAGTTAAACACGCATGTAGAAAAACTTTTTCCACTAATAAAATTGAAGCGTTAATGTTAATCTAATCATAAATAATATTTTTGATTTAATATCACAATTAAAGAAAACTTCGTTTTTAAACTCATGATTTTGGCATCAGCGTATCAATATTATGTCCTTCATAATGAATCGAGTGCGACCGCCTTTTTGATAATTTTTTTTTTCTTAAACGAGTAACTATTACAACGATCACCAGCAAAACCACAAAAATTATGCAAAAAAATGTAATCAGTGCAATATAGATGCTCGATAGCGTTGCTGCTGATGGTTTGCCTCTTTCTAAATTAAAACTTTACTTGTAAGCGATGATTGTAGTTAAAATTAATTTAATAACTTTTATACACTTTGTCTTCTATATCTACTTTAACTTATTTAAATGAATTTGTTTTACTTTGTGTGTATGCAAAAACAGTATAGTTTACCTCTCACTGCAACAATTGCACTTTTAGTTGCAAATGTATTTTTATTAAAAGCAATGCACACGTATTCGCCAACATTTGAAACGTTTACTTGAAATACTTTTAATACACTTTTACCCCTGCACGCATCAATTTTGAGTGTTACCACGTGATATTTTACACCTTTATGATTAGTCCAGTTAGTGGTATCATTGCTTGGGCGTCTATGATCCCAGCGAAAAAACATGGGTTGATCTGCAACAAAATAGTTTTATGTTATATCCTTCAAATCAATTTTTTAAATTTGGTAAAAAAACCGGATGTTTTATAATATTATAAGTATATATATATATATATATATATATATATATATATATATATATATATATATATATATATATATATATATATATATATATATATATATATATATATATATATATATATATATATATATATATATATGTATATATATATACATATATATAGTTAACGCTAAAAAACAAACCTTCGTCACCAGCCGCTGTACAAGTAATCTTAAAGTGTTCTCCATAATTAACGGATAACTGATTTGGAATGAGAGATGTGATATGCAAGGTCTCAAATTGATGACGTTCTACAAATAAACAATATTACGTAAACTATATATTATAATAATATGTATTAGGGAAACGTTACTCTTCTTCTTCCAAAAATCAAACTTCTAGTCATATTTAAGAAGGTATTACGGTTTAATTGAAACCGTTTTTGATGAATTCTTCTGAGAAAACAATACCTAAGAAAACTTTGAGCAACTTTGCAAATGTTGGGTAATTGAGTGTTTGATTGGTTTCAATTCTTCCCATCTATTAATTTTTTTTTGCTTTTACGTGCAGCATTTTAATGTAATCAAAAAAAAGATTCGATTATCTGCCATTCCTTTTCCACGTGTAAAATAAAATAAAATATATATATATATATATATATATATATATATATATATATATATATATATATATATATATATATATATATATATATATATATATATAAAATATATATACAAAAAAAAGATTCAATTATCTGCCATCCCTTTTCCACGTGTAAAATAAAATAATATATATATATATATATATATATATATATATATATATATATATATATATATATATATATATATATATATATATATATATATATATATATATATATATATATATATATATATATATATATAAAAGATTATCAAGGAACAGATAACTAAATATCTTGAAAAAACGAGCTGCATCTCAAACAATCAACATGGATTTATGTTCAAAAAGGGATGCACGTCTAACTTATTGGAAAGTGTCGACTACATTACAAAAGCGTTAAGCAAAAGAAATTTTGTCGATATTGCATTTTTGGACTTTTCAAAAGCGTTTGATAAAGTTTCTCATCGTAGACTACTACATAAATTGAAAGCATATGGTATTCAATGGTAGTGTTGGCAAATAGATTGAGTCATTTTTGACTAGCAGAAAACAACGAACAGTTTTAGGTAATCACTCTAGCAACTGGACCGATGTTTTAAGCCGAGTTCCACAAGGGTCTGTATTTGGTCCAACATTATTCATTATCTACATAAATGACTTAACGGATAATTTAAAATCAGTTCATAAAATCTATGCTGATGACACTAAACTGTTGCAAGAAATAAGACCTGAGTTTCACGATGCTGATTGTCTGATTCTTCAAAATGATTCAAACATTATCTCAGAGTGGTCAAAAGAATGGCTTATGGAATTAAATGTTGCAAAGTGTAAAGTTATGCACCTTGGTCATGGAAATATAAATCATGAATATGTAATGAATGATGGTAGTACATCTCTTATTATAGCGGCAACAGATATTGAAAGAGACCTGGGCATCTTTTTATCTAAAATGGAATCAACACATACAGGTTGCAACACGTAGAGCAAATATGATACTTGGCCTACTAAAAAAAACATTTAGATCAAGAGATTTTAAGCTTTGGGGTAAACTATATATACATATGTTAGGCCGCACCTGGAATTTGCTGTTCCGGTATGGTGTCTTTACTTAAAGGGCGACATCAAAGAAATTGAAAAAATTCAGCACAAAGCAACAAAAATTCCTCATGATATAACAAGTTTACCTTATGCTGAAAGGTGTCGGCGTCTCAATTTTACTTCTTTGGTAACTCGCAGGCGACGCGGCGACTTGATCCAACAGTTTAAACTTGAAAACGGTTTTGAAATTATTAATTGGCATAATCCACCTCTTCGCAGATGACCATCCAACGTACTAACGCGTGATTTCACTTACAATAATGCTCGACATAATTTATTCACAAATCGTATTGTGAATGATTAGAATTATTTACCGTGGTCATGCAAAAAGGCTCCGTCAATTAACGCATTCAAAAGTAGAATTGACAAGTATTTTTTTTCTACAGCTGCAAACAGTGCATCTTTTACTGAAGATGAGCTGCACGTTTAATTTAATTAATTCGTGCTTTAGCAGCTACAAATAATGACTTTTTAGGTACATTTATCATAAACGTAAACTGTAATTAAATTAAAGCAAAAAAAAAAAAAAAATAAAAAAAAAAAAAAAATAATAATAAATAAATAAAAAGTAATAATAATAATAATAATAATAATAATAACAATAAAAAAATAAATAAAAATGCTTTTGTTTTTTAATCTGTTTATTGGGTTGTTTTTTTATTTATTTGTCATGTAATCTATAAAGACTTATTTAAATATATTACTACTACTATTACTATTACTATTACTATATATATATATATATATATATATATATATATATATATATATATATATATATATATATATATATATATATATATATATATATATATATATATATATATATATATATATATATATAAATATATATATAAACATGTATATATAAACATGTATATATATATATATATATATATATATATATAAACATGTATATATATATATATATATATATATATATATATATATATATATATATATATATATATATATATATATATATATATATATATATATTAGGGGTAGTCAAAAAAAAAAAGTTCTAAATCTAAAAAACCATAACCCTAAATTTGGGGCAAATATATAAAAAATGAGCCTCAAAAAGTTGGATCACTCTTGACCCCTCCCCCCCCCCCCCCAAAATATATTAAAAATGAGCGAAGCACGGCTCAGGTCAATGATAAAGGAACTTTTTATTATAAAAGAGGCAAAACCAGCTATATCAGGTAGAAACATATTTTATTAATACTGGAATTATTAAATTATTGATTTCTAAAATATTTATTTAAAAATGTCTAAATCTTTCTGTTTAGATTTACAGCTTCCAACAGGCTTGGATATTCTTCAACATTTAATATATAAACAACAATGTAAACCTGCACCAATATCGAATATTATTGCTTGTCCTCTTAAAAAAAAATTTTTAAGATGTAAAATGAATAATTGTTGTGAATGTATTTTGTCTAAAATCAAGAAACCCTGGATTAAAGCTGGCTTTGATGTGTTAACTGATTTAAGTTTAATTAAAAAAATTTTTAATATGCATAAATCCTATTCCAACTTGAAATAAAAATGCAAAAAGGAGGACTATAGGTGATTTGACTAAACAAAATGAGTTTGAGATTGAAATAAAAAAACTTTTTTGGGCTGGTAACTCTAATCTTAAAAACATGATCAGTAAAGATAAAAAGAGATCGCTAAAAAACAAGATTGAAGATTTAAAATTTCTGGAAGATCAAGAAGGTGAAAGAAAGTTTGTTATTGGTTCAGAGGATATTAAGTATAGAAAAAAGGTAGTCAATGCTTTTAGTTAAATTTATTTAGCTCTGGTTTGACCTCTGTTAATTTATTCTTTTTTTCACTAATTCTAAAATGAAAAACTAAAGCTACAATTTTTCTGTAAATTAGGCAAAAAAAAGTATCAGGAAGAAAAATTGTTCACAGCCTAAGAATTCGAGAGATGATATAAACAGTGAACTTATAGACACAATTCTAAGTGAGGACTCTTCAATTGAATCTGATTTTGATCCAAGTGATTGGTACCACACAGAAGTCTCTGAAAACCCAGATACAGTAACTGCAAAAATTCCAAAAGATATTTATGCTGGTAATATTTCACTTACTGCTACAGCCTGTGATATATCCCCAAATGTTTTACAGAAGATAACAAATGCAATTCTATACCAATCAGGTGTTGATCTTAAAGAAGTTAAAAGCAGCCAATCTACTGCTTATAGAAAAATGAAAAAATAAAATAAAAACATGTCTATCATTACAAAAGAAGATGTTAAGATAGCAATTGATGCATCTCCGTATCCATGTATAATTCATTTTGATGGCAAGACCTTGTTTGAGCTAAACAAGGGAAAAGTATTAAAGAGGGATAGAATGTCATCCACTAGTGTCATCCACTGGTGAAGATCAGTTCTTAGGTGTAATGAATTTGATTAAGGAGTATCAACTTACGTCAAAAACTAGAGGAATATGCTTTGATACAACATTCTGATGAAACTGAAAAACACAACAGATTAATCACAGTAGACAATGTTCGATCTGTATTCAGATCATTAAAACAAAAATCCAGTGCGATTTCAAAAAGTAAATTTAATGATGGGCTTGGTGTGATCAAGAAAAAGATAAAAAAATAAACTTGATAATTGATTAGATTGTCAAATGTTAATGTTTTTATTATAAAATTTCTAATATAGTTTTATCTTTTTATTTCTTCTTACTCATTTTGATTTTTTAAGGCAGATAAATAGCAGTTTTTAAATATAGGTAACTGACATTGCAGTGATTACAGCCAACTACTGTTTATACTTTCTGGCAGTTTATTGCCCCCTCATGCATAAGAGAGAAATCTTGCCCCCTCATGTATAAGTTGGTTTTCCCCTCAGACACGTTTTGGGAACAGTCAAAGGGGTCTGTGTGTTTATTTATTTCATATATATATACATATATACACACACATATATGTATGTATATATATATATATATATATATATATATATATATATATATATATATATTATATATATATATATATATATATATATATATATATATATATATATATATATATATATATATATATATATATATATATATATATATATAAACCTAACATTAACTACAAAAATTACCAATTTTCACCATTTTCAGTACTAACAAAAATAGGTTTTTGAGGGGTAGTAAAAAAACCATACACTTTTAAACAAAAATATAGGCCTATATATGTATAGTAAAAAAAAAAAAAATTAAAAAAAAAAAAATTACCCCTTCCTCAAAATGGCCGAAAATAATCACTTTTCGGTCATTTTTTCCCTAAATTATTGGCTTGAGGGGGGGGTCAAGAGTGATCCGATGGCGCTCAAACTTTTTGAGGCTCATTTTTTATATATTTGCCCCAAATTTAGGGGGTATGGTTTTTTAGATTAAGAAATTTTTTTTTTTGACTACCCCTAATATATATATACATGTATATATATATATATATATATATATATATATATATATATATATATATATATATATATATATATATATATATATATATATATATATATATATATATATATATATA